CACTCACCTCAGCCTCCCAAAGGCACAGGATTACAGGCTGAGCCACTGAGCCCGGCTATAGAACTTTTTAACATGCCAGTCATATCTCAATAAAATGATTTTTTAAATGATAACAGTTCAACTTAACAAGTACATTATAGATGGCAGCTTACATCCAAACTGTGCTCTAATATCATCCCCAACAAAATGTCTTTGGTTCATCATCCTGTGGACATTTGACAGTAGACAGAATTGACATTTTTGTTGCAATAGAAAGTAATATATAGGGAGAGCCTTGCTTTTTTTTTTTATTGTTTGGCAAAAAATTAAGTAGCAAATATAGTTTTTTAATTTTTGCCCACCGAATGTCCTGTTTATCAGTGATTTCCAGGGAACAATGTGGGACCAGTGTTGGTCTAGTGTTTTAATTGTCTAAGGCAAAAAAAAAAAAAAAAGACAATGTAGTCTGTCTATCTGGTAAAAAGTACTAACTGTTGTTTCTTACAAAGGACTGCCTTTATGCTGCTGTTTTATTCTTATAAAACTTGAGGATATAAAATGTTTTTTGTTTTAGGAACTCATGGTATAGAAGGTAACAACAGATCAAAAGCTAACAACCCCATATTGGTTCCCTACCGTCATTTTTCTTACACTTACTTGTTGATGAAATTCAAAAGTCTAGGAAGCATTGCAGGAAAATAATGATATACTAGAAAGAGTTCTAGTTTGGGCAGGCCGTTAGAACCCTCTGAGGCTCCATTTTTTGACATATAAAATAGCAATAATTATACCTGCATGGAAGATTATTGTGAAGAATAAATGGCATGTTATTTGGTATCAACGTGCATGGCCAATAATAACAATCAGTAAATGGAGGCTATCAAAATTAAATCGTGTGAAAGCACTTTATAAATTCTAAAACACTGTACAAGTACAAGATGCTGTTATTAGCCAGGAATTAAAATTTCAAAACCTTAGTCAGATGATGACTAGCTTCCAAATTGAAAACGCATGTGTTATCAAAGTAGCAGTAAATCTTTCATCATACAAAGCAAGTAAATGATGCTAACAAAGCTGACTTCTTTTTCACAAACTGGGATGAATCATAACACATTATTTCCACTTTAGTTACATTGAGTGCTCACTTATCTATAAGTCAGAAGTGAACTCTGAAGTGATGTATTCTTTGAACTTGCTTGAAAATTTGCAAAGATTCCTCAAAGTATAGGGTTTCTTTTTTCTTTCCTTTTCTTTTTCTTTACAGCCAAAGAAGCCTAAAGTCCCAGATAATCCATTTCATGGCATTGTTTCCAAGTGTTTTGAGCCTCATCTCTACGTGTATATTGAGTCCCAAGACAAGTGAGTGATGAACATTTTGCTGTTTTTTGCCTGCATTTCTCCCTTCCTCCAGTCATGGTTAGGCACAACTCCTTCCAGAGGCTGAAGAAGGGGCTGGGCGTGCCTGTAACCCTCGTTGGAAACCTGTTGATATTTTTATATCTTGTGGATGTTATGATTTATTGTATCTATAAATCTCAGAAGCCTGAGTTTGACCCTAATAAGGTCTCATATGGATCCCAACACCCCCTTCTCATGTGGGTGTTGAGCCCTTGTTAAGCCCTGGCATATGTCAGCCCACAAAGCTTTACAACATCAGGCACTAGATATTGTAAGAAAGCCTAATCTCTAATGTATATGTTTCCAAGTATAATTTAACATTTCTATTTGAGATAAGTTAGTCTTTAAAACGTTACCAAAATAGGGCGAAAAATTCTCACATACTCTTTTCGAGAGAATTGTAACACCTTATATAACCGTAGTTATCAAAATCAAGAAGGTAACATTGTCCCATCAATGTCGTTTTTCTGGTCCAGAACCCAATAATCATGCATTTGGCTGTCAGATCTCTTTGGTCTCCTTTAATCTTGAATATTTCTTCCTCTTTTCTCTGCCTTTCATGTCCTTTAAGGAATATTGACCTGCTATTTTGTCCATTGCCCTCAATTTTTGTTCATTTTTTGTTGATGAAATCCATTTTTTTTTTTGGCAAGAATACTATAGAAGTGACATTATATCCTTCTTGGGACATTATATCAGGAGGCACATCATGTTGGTTTGTCCATTACTGCTGATGTTAACTTTGATTACTTGCTTAAGGTGGTGCCTGCCAACTTTCTCCACTGTGAAGTTACTGTTTTTCTTTTTGTAATTAATAAGTATCTTATGGGGGAATACTTTGAGAAACATCCTGTTTCTCATCACATTTTTGCCCACTCATTTTGGCATCTCTTGATAATTCCTGCCTGAAGCAATTATTTTTGTACTGTTTGCCAAATGTTGATTGTCTGTTTAAATCATGTCTTCTATATCTTCTAATTGGAGTTCTACTGTAAGGAAGAGTTTTCTCTTCTTTCCCATTTGTTTATTTACTTATATCAGTATGGACTCATGGATTTTGATTTTATTTTATGAATCATCCATTTAAAATAGTATATGCTTAGCCGGGCTCGGTGGCTCAGCCTGTAATCCCGCACCTTTGGGAGGCTGAGGTGGGTGGATGCCTGAGCCCGCGGGTTCGAGACCCACCTGGGCAACTTGGCAAGACCTCATCTCTACAATAAATCAAAATGAGCCGGGTGTGGTAGCGCGCGCCTGTAGTTCCAGCTACTTGGAAGGCTGAGGCGGAAGGATCACCAGAGCCCAGCAGGTCGAGGCTGCGGTGGCCGGGAGTGGCCACTGTACTCCAGTCTGGGTGACAGAGTGACACTCCAACTCAAAAAATAAATTAATTAATTAATTTAATTAAATAGTATATGCTTTCCACAAACTCACGACTTTCAGTGATTTTTGTAAGGCAACCCGTCACAGTCAACTTTGTTCATAGCCAAAGAGTGTGTTCATGTTCTGGTGTCCATTGTTTGTGTGAGGGGAATTAGCAAAGGAGGAAGACTCCTCCTCATTTCTGAATCTTTGTCCACAGCCAGAATAACTGCTGAATGCCCTTCCATGTTAGAAGGCAGGTTTTGGAGAGATCAGGTTTCTGGAGTAGGCCAAGGTGACAGGAGACAGGGTGGCCTGGGCTCTGAGAGGAGACCTTATAGCCTGAAGAACGCACTTAGGAGAGACCAGAGGGCGGCTCATGCAAGGAGGTTAGCACTGGCTGTGGGAAAGTTCTTGAAGGATGTTATCTGGGAAAGCACTTAGGCCCTGATGGCCCCATCTTTTTTTTTTTCTTTTTTTATGCTTCTGTCATGGGTTAGCAGATGCTTGTTCCAAGCAATTCTCAAGGGTAAACTATAAGATCAAAAGAATGTCTTAAGTAGAAACTCTATTGTGGATCAATATTATTCACCTATTTGATTTTATAGATTCCTGCTTTTTATAATGTTTCATATTAAAATCCCAGAAAATGAACTTTGTACAGTAGCTTCTATGTTATCAAATGCAAATCCCTCACCCACCCCCAAATAGTTGTCTTGCTGATGTTTGCCTTGTAAAGGCCCAGTTGACCTTCTCCTTTCTATGTGCTGGGTGTGTGTCCAGCAGCCACAGAGAGAAGCATTGGTCACTATCTGTTCATTCCGTTCTGTCTTCTGCATTCAAAAATTTCTTCCCAGGAAGTTAGTAGGACACCTCTGAAGGGCAGGAAAGAGGATTGGTTATTTGTCTATTAGAGTAACAGGTCTTAGAGTAATCCATCGGGAAGACTATTTTCAGCCAAAGCCCCGTCTTCTCTTATCAACCCAAATTTTTATAATAAAAAGTTTGAGTGCAGAGTTTAAAGCACATGTCTGAGATAACCACATTCTTTCCCCAAACCTACCTAAAGAGTCATTTCTCTGAACTACTATAATTCTGATATCCACTTTTTTCACATGACCCTGATTTATACAAAGTATACCCATTGTTCATGATACTTTGGGCAAAGAGCCAACCCTCCCTTCCTCGGGGACTCCGTTTCTCTATTAAAAATGAAGTGCTGGCCACTTATCCTGCTGTTTGGCCTCACTAGGATGTTTCCACAGCACTAGGGAAGTAGCAGAGGCTACTCGGGGAACTGCGTAGGTTGTGCTATTGTCGCTCCAGAATAAACAGCAAAAACTTGAAGTAGAAAATAGAATTAAAGGGCTCCACTTCCTCATCTGTGAAAAGAGAGAATCACATGAAATAATGCCTAAAGCAGTAGTTATTCACCTTTTATTTATTTATTTATTTTATTTATTTATTTTTTTTTGAGTTGGAGTCTCACTCTGT